ATCACTTTATCATTTCAATTAAAGAATATTTTAAATTTATGCATGAGATTGAAATTATTTTTTTAAACCTTTGATTGATGTTTTGGTTGAGGAAATGGAAAATGTTGTGGTTGAATATGAGGATGTTGAAAAATAATTGGTGGAAAATGTGGTGGTGGTGGTGGTGGTAATGGTTGTAGTTGTACATGAGGTGGATGAAAAATAACTGGTGAAGGTGGTAGTTGTGGTGGTACATGAGGTGGATGGAAAATAAATGATGACGGTGATTGTTGTTGTTGTTGTTGTTGCTGTTGTTGTTGTTGTTGTTGTTGTTGTTGTTGTTGTCGTTGTTGTTGTTGTTGTTGTTGTTGTTGTCGTTGTTGTTGTTGTTGTTGTTGTTGTTGTTGTTGTTGTTGTTGTTGTTGTTGTTGTTGTTGTTGTTGTTGTTGTTGTTGTTGTTGTTGTTGATTCTTTTGATGATTGCTATTTGTCATTTTCAACTTTATCTGCAAAATTTACAAATTGATTTCCATTTAAACTTATTTAACAATAGTAAAATTTTATAATAACTATTGTTTTCTTTTTTTCTTCTTTTCGATTCTTCCCAATTTTTATTTCTGAATTTTTAAAAATTTCGATTTTTCGTTACAATTAAACAAGAAATATCCAACAAACAGAATTAAAAATTGATATTTCTGTATTTGATTGGTGTAAATCTGTTGTTGTTGTTGTTGTTGATATTATTACTGTCGTGATAATAGTACTAGTTGCATAACCAAAAAGATTTAAATTTCGAAATTCCGATAAATTTGTGATCGTAGTGTTGGTTTTTGTTAATGCTTTGCTGAAAGAGAAGTTTATCGTTTTATATAAATGAATTTGATTGGATAAGATTATCTATCATATGAAAATGGATTTGATTGGATAAGATCGTCTATCATATCATACTGTTGCAAATTTCCTAATATACCATTTTATTAAAATATACTATATTTTGTTTAAAAAAAAAAAAAATTTACGCTTAGAAAAAAGAAACCAATAATGATTACGGTATTATATATGAAAAGATAATATTAAGTGATAAGTTAAGTGATAAGTAACACTTTTCATTTATGAATGATACGATATTGTTGATTATACTAAAAACACTGTTTAGATAATTTTTGATTCAAATACAATTTTCAGGTATACCTTGTTGTAGTTGATATATCATCATCTATTGAATGATACAATGATTGATGTATCACTTCCTGTTCTTTCGTATTCATTGATGAATCTAAATTATTTCTTGTAAAAAAAAAAAATGTAAGAAAATTATCATATTATTCGAAGTATTAAAAATAAAAAAATTTCAAAATTTGAAATATTAGCAGAGAAAAAAAATGTAACATTTACGCTGCATGTGATGTTTTTAAAATATGCAAAAAATTAAAAGATAAATAAATATTCTATTTTAAATATAATAAATATTCTATAAATATTCTATTTTTCAATTAATCTATTAAATTTATCAATTAACATCATTCATTATATATGAATGAGAATAATTGAAAACATGCTTTGAATAATTAGCTTACAACTAATTAATTTTATACAATAATTCTGTAGCATATTTTAAATGAAGAAAAAAAAAAAGCTATCATATTCATACTTCCATCTTTTTTGTTTAAAAATAATTGATAAATTTAAAGTAATATTTTGAAATGGTTAAATTTGCATTACATTGATTGTATTTTTGTTGTATTCGTATCGGTTTATTTGATAAATGCCAACAACTACCATTAACACAATATAAATTTGGTGGACAATGATTATCGTTGTTGCATGGACCTAAATTATATATATATTTTTAATTTTGAGACAAATAAATATATCCAATTCACTATATTAGTTTATTAAGTATTGCGATGACGTATAATTATCATGATGGTGATAACGATAGTGCTGATTATGATGATGATGGTTGATGATGATGATGATGATTGATGATGATGATGATGATGATGATAATGATGATAATGATGATGATGATGATGATGAATATTTATTTCCAAAATGCAGATTTGTATCGATCATTTGATACTGATGAAAGATTTATCGGATATTATTTCATCCTATGCATTACCAATATTATTTCTCATATAATATCTTCTCCTCATTCAGTATGCTTATAGCAATTTGAAAATTTAAAATTTTCATTATAATATTTTATTTAGGTGAAAGATTTGTTAAATTAATCAAATGAACAATTAATTGGCATTAACTTCTCAAATTAAATTGTGAAATTTTTCAAATGTTGCACAAAATCTAATTAAACTTTTTCATCGAAGGAAAAAATTGTTAATTTCAGTTAATATGCAATACACATATGAAACTGTGTAATTGTTTGGATGAAAAATTTTGCATAATTTTATCATAAAAGACGAATACAAAGATATGGGAAAAATAAATCAATAATGATAAACATAAATGGATAAACAAAATTGAATGATATTAAAAATGAAATACTTTTGGTACTAATAAAATAGTTCAAACTTTACGTATTTGCCCTATTTAAAAATATATTGAATTTTATACATAATTAAAACATGATAAAAGAAACAAACTGTCATCATCTTTAAAATGTCAACCTCATTGAGAGGTTCTTAGATTGGCATTTCCTTTTTTTTTTCTTATTTTACAACTCTTCCCATAATTTGATAGCCCGGAAGTTTACTGAATTTTCAAGTTTTTTTTGCCTATTTTATCTTTGGAAAATGATTTGTAGCATAGTTTCAATATTAATTTTATTAATGAAACTGTAATAAAATTTAGAAATTTCCAGCATATTACTTATTTTTGAAAATATTTTTAGCACTTTAAAAAATATTAAAATGTTTAAATTAAAATTAACCGAAATTTAAAATAATTAGAGAAAAATGAATTAAAATACTTGTCGATATTGTGCTGAAGTATACAATAAAGGGAAGTATGTAATTTGTTAAAGTTTCTTTTAACTTTTTATTTCAAATATTTGAAATGTTTCAAATTATTCTATGATTATTAACAATTTTACCAACTCTCTGTCCGAATTTCAATTTCAATATTATGCCAATAGTTTATATGCAATGTGCATGCATCACTGCAATTTCTTGCAACATAAGTGCATTTTGATGTTTTGCTGTTATTATATTTATATGGATTAAATAGTATTGTAAAACAAACCAGGCCATTGAAACCATTCCGTTTGTTCCGATTTTTCTGCCGGAAATCGCTTTTGACGTTTCTTTTGCTTACGGATCAATTCATGCTGTTGTTGAGTCTCTTCTAATTGTTTGTTGTACTGTAAACAGAATATATTACGGTAATTTTCAAATAGCTTACAATAATAATCAATCTTAATTAACACATATACAATTCCGGAAAGATCCGCTAATCGTTCCATCTCTGACAGCAAAAAATACTTTGAATTCAGGTAAATCAATTTGTTATAAAAAATATAACCATAAACTAAACTTGAATAATATCACCAATAACATTTGTGGTAATTCCTTTAACAAGCAGTCCTGAAAATAAGTAAATTTATGCAAAAATTATCAAAATAATTCATTGCCAAATTTTGTGCACACAAATTTTACTATTATTAGCAACATTTCCGGAAATAATGCAAAAATTCGGAAACACAAATCTCACTATCATTAGCAATATTTCCGGAAATAATGCAAAAATTCGAATATTGCATATCCCATGTGAAACTTTCCCTAGATTTTTCAAATTAAAATTTTTATCCCATCCTAATAATCTTTCTCTATAATACAAATGTAAATCATTTACTTTTAATTAGAATTGAAGTAAAAGAAAAATTGAAAATTAAAAAATCATAATTTTTCAATCAAATAATTTCCAAATAAAAAATGTTAAATTTTATATTATATTAATCAAAATTGTTCACAATTTTTCCCAAAATTAATGTTTATGTAAAGATATCTTAATAATGATCACAATCTCATTTGTTCATTTATTCTATCAAATTCATATCCTTTTTCTTTTGAATAATTTAAAATGATCACTAACAATTTTTTATGCAGATCAATACCACTTTGAAAATATTTGATAAAAAAATAATGAATTTTTAATTTCTAATTTAAATTATACAAACTATAACAAATAATAGTGATAATTTTTTTTTATTGACTAAATGCAATTTTTGTCACATCAAAAAATAAAATGTCATAAATTAAAATAAATTTGACAAAAATAATCATATTTCTACGAATTAATTGAATGCCAATGAATAAATCTCAGTTTTTTTTTTTTGCAATTTTTATTGATAAAAAAAAAAAATTTACAAATCTTGCAGTTATTTTTATCAAATATTATGCCATGTTATATTTTTCATTGCATATTGATAGCAATGATACATTCTGAATTTCAATTAAATCATGAAAATTGACTTAAGAAGTTAATAATTGTGAAAAAATACGTGTCGTTGAAAACAATAAATAGAGTTGTTCCTTTTAAATTTAATTAAGCAAGTTATTAACTTGGTTTTATCACTGTCAAAGGTGCAAAGATCACATATTAGAGTTAATTTTTTGGAATTGTTGTCGATAGTTTTGTTCCAGGCTGAGATTTATTCATTCCTTTTCTATAGTCCTAATAATGCTTAAAGAATTAAATGTACTGATTTATCATGAATTTGAACATTAATCCAATTTTCCAGTAGTTGACTTATTCATCAGATCATTCCATTCATTTATAGCTATGATGTTTTTGAAATATCATCTCTTGAAAATTAAAATTACATTTTCTATTTCTATTGGGTTGAGGAAAATGTTTAAAAGGAATTCGAAATGCTCACTTTCACTAATTGCCAAATGGTTTCGATTTCAGTGCAAATCCGGCATTCAACATGATCAGGTTGAATTACCGGTGATTACTGTTAAGATATTTGATAACTTTACTCTTGTTTGCATCTCCAATAAATTCAAAATCATATTTTCATTCATTTTGGTGTCCCTTTGTTTGTTGCTATTGTTACGGGTATAAAATAAACCTATTTCATTCATTTTAATCGTTGATAGAACTAGAAATGAGATATTTCCCGGGAATATTTCAATCTCACAAATTCCATCACTTTTATTGCTATTATTATTACTATTTTGTCTATATATAGCAAATATATTTTAAATGAATATTTCTCAAAAAATGAAAAAAAAAAAGGTTACCAAACCGTTAAATTGTGATAGACTTTTAAAAAGTCTGGAATTTCTGTCTTCCCAATTTACCCAATCAGTTTGCTTTTGAAATATCCTAGCTTCGTACCTAA